TATACTTGGAATAACATTTTTATATGCAGAGTTGATGCATTTGATCTGTTTCAGGTTCAAAGGGTTATTTATAACTGCTGTCAATATCATAACCTTACCAATTTATTTTTCCAGCTGGTGAAATTGATAAGAAACTGAGTCAGCATGGCAAATTCCTTCTTAAATATAGTTCCTAATTTCATAGGATATTATTAGCTTAGAGGAATTAATACTCATTTCCTCTCCTTATGAATGTTACTTATAAAGACAATTTTAGAATTTGTTAGAAACACAAATAATGTCTAGGATATTTTTCATTAAGCCTGAGTGATTAGAATTCCTAGTCTTTCTTTCTTTTCTTTTCTTTTTTTTTTTTTTTGCCATTTTAGCTTGTACTATTACAGTGGGATAAGAAAGTTAATAGATAGCCATCTGTAGCATATCTAAACCTAACGATAATACTAATTACCATTTGTATTATGCTTCACAGTTTTTACCGTGCTTTTGTGTGTCTGCTTTCTTTCTTTCTCACAATACTATGATGTATTTATAGGTAAAGCTCAGATGTAATAAGTAATTGATCCAATTTCACCCAAGTAATATGTGGTAGACTTAAGCTGGTAAGTGAAACAGTGATTGAAATATTGATGTCCTGCAAGTAACATCCTATCAGTTCTCTCACGTACAGCAAAAATTCTGTAAAGTGTAGCACATGCCTGAGAGTGGTGCAATACACAGTCAGAAGTTAAGAAAGAAAAAAGACTCGTCTCTTTAAATATTTTCATATTTTTAATCTGTAGAATATATTTATTTTTAATAGACATATATCAGTTTTAACCAGCATTCTTAAATGGTGTGCTACTCATACAAGTGTATGGTCGGTCCTTCAACGCAATTACATTTTTTGTTAGAACTATTTTTCCATGTTTTTTTTTTCTTACCACATTGCTCTAACGCACAGTTTTTTTGGCACCTACCCTGTTAGTAATATGACATCGAGAAATTATTTGTTTCTATTATACATTTGTGTTATTTTATTACATATTACACACGGTGTAACCTCCCCCCAACCCCACTGCCCCCTGGGTGGAGCAGCCGACCCCACGCCAGCAGGGCGAATCGTCTGGCCTCCTGCACCCTGTCGGGTGATGAGGAGGTGTAGTGGAGGTAGGAGGTGGTGACAAGTTATTGCACTGGGTGACTGGTGACACCAACCCTAGTGCTGCCAGTGCCTTGGCGGCCCCTCCCCTGGCAGTGCCTGTCGCCTGTCTCTGTCTTTGCTGCTGCTGTCACTGCTGCTGTGGACCTTGGGGTCATTTTGATGTCACCTCCTCGGACAGTGTTGGGGGTGCATTCCACACCCCTACACCTCCCTAGGGACGCCACTGCTATTGGGCAACATTTTTTTTCCTAATTGATGATTCACCAGGCATTTCTGATGAGATTTAAAAAGAAAAAGAAACAAAGTAAATCCTTTCAATTATGAAAGTGTTTAACTAATAGGACTAAATAGGTAATATTTTAATTTTAACACAAATAAGATCCTTTCTGCTGTTCTGATTTGCATATTGGTTTAACCAGATGTGGAGTAGCTGCTACAGAGCAGTGGTTCTCAAAACTTAATGTGTCAGACCTATGAAACAGATTGCTAGAGCCCAGTGCCAGGATTTATAATTCTGTTGTTCTGGGTGAGGCCTAAGAAACTGATGTTTCAACAAGTTTGCTAATATTCTGAACCTTATGTTTCATACTATAATACACTGCTTGGGTCACATAAACCAAAAACCAAACCCACTGCTGTCGAGTCGATTTCTGACTCATAGCAACCCTGTAGGACAGAGTAGAACTGCCCCATAGAGTTTCCAAGGAGCACCTGGTGGATTTGAACAGCCATAGCTCTTAACCACTGCACCACCAGGATTTCCATGGGTAACATACATGGCTGTTAATACTTTTGATTCACAAAAATCATGGCCTGAAATCTAACCAAAAGGTTGCTGTTTTGAACCCACTCACAGGTTCTGTGGGAAAAAGACCTGGTGATCTCCTTCTATAAAGATTACAGCCAAGAAAACTCTATAGGGCAGTTCTACTCTGTCACAAAGGGTTGTTACGACTAGACACTGACTCGACACAATAACGACAGCCTTGTAGAAGATACTAGTTGAAACAGCTTGCTTTCTTACTGCCATGTTAAAAATCATTGTTGACATTATAATTCAAATCATTCATTTCAGTTAAAATAATTCAAACTCATAGAGAAACCAAATGAATATTTTGCCTTTGTTGCTCAGTGCCTTACTTGTGGGCAGTTGTGACCTACATTTTCCAGCATTACCATGGCCCTAATTTTACAAGCCACATACTTAACCAATCATCTGTTACTGTCAGTTACACTTCCTGCCACAGCATCTGTTGCGTGTGCTTTTATTTGTTGTAATTGCAGAATAGAAACCTTATTTTTTGTGGACTTCAAAGTTGGACTACGCCAATTTGTAGATGAAAAAGTTCATTTAAAAGTCATTAATATGAATATTTCTGTAGGTAGCAGGGCAGGACTAAGGTTAGTTGCTAAATTCATTTAGGAAAAATATAATTTAAAGGAAAAGGATAACTGTCTCAGCATTGGACTGTAACTTAAGAGTTTAAACTATTGAAGTAGAGGCTGTTCACATGAAAAAGGTAAATTATCTTATTAAATTTACAAATAATTTAGATAAGAAATCCAATTCAGGAGCTATAGACAAAAATACTATTTATTTAGTTTAATTAGTAAAAGGTTAATACTTCCAGCTATTAAAAGATTTACAAAAACCCAAGACTTTTTGTTTAAAACTCCAATCAGCACACAGGAGTGAACTCTATGTAAAATTAACTAATCAGAAAAAATGATTTTAAGATGCATATTTTTGTAATGTGATTAAAGAAGAAAACAATACTTTATTATATAAATACATTTGATTTAGTGGAAAGAGCATTGGCCCAAGTCATAAGACTTAATTCAAGTCCTTGGCTTTTCCGTTGGTAAGCTCTGTGATCTCACAAAGTTAATAAAGTTTATAGACTTCTGTTCCATTAACAATAAAGGAAATAGTGTCATATTTGATCATGCCTAAAGCCCATCAATTCCTAAAAGTCTATGGAAATCTTTGGTAGGAGTAACTCATCCAATTCTCTTGGCTCTATTACCTAGAAACCTAATTAGTATGTCCCCTTGACCTTTCTGGTAGCATTGATTTTCAAGTATTCTAATGGCAGTAAATTATTAAGAGAAAGAAAAAATCAACAAATACATATATTCTAGAATAGATACATAATGGCAATCAAATGCCTCGTGTGGTATGAGTTGCTAAAGTCGTTTCTGGCTTTTAAGTAGGGATCTTCAATTAAAGATTCAAGAAGTTTTGACATTTTTTCTTTTTGTTCACAAATCCCCTCCAGCCATGTCACACCATGCAAGTGTAACTTTTTGTTTTCTATATAGAATCCTTTCCTCCTTAAATATTTTAGAGTCTAAATCGGCCCATTTCATCCAAGACTCATTTGTTTTAGTAGTTCGCTCAATTGCCTTACTGCTGTTTTGCAGAGTCCCTTGTGTTACCTCCCTAAGCAGCACTGTCTTCTTGATTTTTTCTGTCACTCTAAGGAGTCTAGTAATCGTGTGGTAAAATAATTTTGGACTTGAAGTTAGAGACCTGGCTTTGAATCCCAGATTTGCCACTGGGAAGTTCAATTACCCAGTTTCTCACAAGTAAAATGTACACAAATAGCTACTTCATTTGGATTGTTGTGAATATAGAAGATGTATTATTAAAATAATTTTACAACCTCTGAGGCACCCTGCACAAGTATGATGTTATTGTGATTATTATGTAGTCTTAGTACATCTCTCTTTCCAGAAATCATAGTAGAAGATGTCTATTTGCAAGCAAGCAAAGAGTAAGAATTGAAGTTAGAATTCAAAAATATTGGCATAGTCAAACAGAATTACAGAATCCTGGTATTAAATTAGTATATACAGAAATTATCTTATTATTCCACAGAATACTAAGCCATAATTCAGTCATAAAAATATAGTTCTTCTTTAAATGTAAGAAAAATAGTTAAAATCTTTGTCTAAAATTTTCCTGTAATTATCAAAGATCAGTTATCTGTCAAAAGTTTATTGAGATTTTTTTTTTTAACTTTCCTGAAAAGATTGTAGCCTTTTGAGTTTAACACAGAAATATTTGATTGACTTGAAGTACAATCTGGAATTTTTTTTCTTCTAAAATTAGTGTAATTAAAAATTCATCCTTTTTAATTGAACAGCCATATAAATATGTCCTATTTCTACATCAATGTTTATTTAATCAAATATATTAATATTATGATTACAGATTAAAACATGTGTTTTAAACAAATTTATTTAGAATCCTGAAAAATAAATTAACAATGATCATTATTAACTGTTTTTGAAGTCTATCATATTTCCAAAACCAGACTAGCTCTGTGAATAGTAATGTGATTCTCTAACTCAAACCTACACTCTATTATATGTTTATTTTTTCATCATGTGTTTATTTATTTATGTTTTCCTCTATGTTAATGTGTTTATTTTAGGGACCTCCTGGTTTACCTGGTCTCAAAGGTGACCCCGGCTCCAAGGGTGAGAAGGTGAGAAAAACAACACACAGTGTATTATTACAATTTTGGTATTCTAATAGCAGAGGGAAGGACTTTTGCATATTAAAGTCACTCAGAAGGAAATTTCAAAGAATATCTTTGACATTCTAACCATGGAAAAAGCTGTCAATCCTCAGGTTTCCAGATGTATTTAGAGAAGAGAAAATATGCAAAGTAATAGTGAAATATGTACCAGAATTCAATGTTATATCTTCTCAGTATCCCCTTGTGAGAACCATATGGAGAAAGTATACAGTTATACTAAAATAACTTAAGAAAATAAACAGATGGAATAACAAAATGACCGTTTTATGTTTTTAAACATGAAAAAAAAATTAGCCAGTAAGATGATTTCCCAGAATGTATGCTGAGATTCACAAAATAATTAAAGAAAATAAGTCTTTGTCAGAATGGCATTAATATTTTTTTGAATTATTTTTTAGTCAAAGGGCATGTAAAGATTGCAGAATCTCTGAAGAATAGAAATCATTTCATATAAAATGAGACACTTATTAAAGTAATGAATTTTTGGTTACTTATTTTGCCAATATTACACGTGGTCCTTGTTGGTCTATTAGTTGAGGAAATGCCCTTTAAGTAACTGAAACACTGAAGATGATATTTTTAGAAAGCATTTCATTCCATAATACTTCCTACCTTTAATAAAGGCCTCTCCTAACATAAGTAGTGAATGATCCTGTTATGTGAGGGGTAGGAAGTTCTTACACATGCCTTCCATTCAGAGTGGGTTATTTTAGACTTCTTTAAGCTACATTTTTTATTTTTATACTTCAAGCATTTAATGTGCAAATATTTTATGATTATAATTTAATTATATAGTTGTTATTTATACACTATTAAACTTTCTCTTGCCTGCCTTCCATAGGGACATCCTGGTTTAATTGGCCTGATTGGCCCTCCAGGAGAGCAAGGTGAAAAGGGTGACAGAGGGCTCCCTGGAACTCAAGGATCTCCAGGAGCAAAGGGAGATGGAGTGAGTAAAAATATAAATGATTTTCCTACTCCTATCCAATATTTCTCACTCTCTCTGTCTCTTATCTCTCTCTCACACACACACACGTGTGTGTGCATGCATGCATATACACACCACCTATTCCTTTAAACATGACAAAGTAATTTCTAGTATCTTTATTCCAATCTGTTTAAACCCGTGATGTTTTCAAAAATAGATTTTAAGCTCAGAGTAAATAAATTGAAAATAAGATTTAAGTTAGAAATCATAAAAAGTACAGTTGAGTAATTAATTATGCAAACATTTATTGAATCCTTATCACATACAAATTATTATTCTGAAGGCTGCAGGGGTATAAAGATATATAAAACAAAAACTTATGGACATTGAAGCAAAGGGGACAAAAATTTCAGATTATTTTGCAAATCTTATTTCTAAGATTCACAATGGAAAGCTTTAGGCTATTCTTCAGGATTTTTTAATTCTCTAAATTTTCAACATTTGTGGTTGTCCTATGCAATACATGAAGATGGAGTAGCTGAGGAGAATTTTTTAATTAGATTATTTTCTCTTTAGGGAATTCCTGGTCCTGCTGGTCCCTTAGGCCCACCTGGACCTCCAGGCTTACCAGTAAGTACAATACAAAATCTTATAAGGTAGAATTAATTTATAAATATACCAAAAAGACACAAATTCCCCAGATTTTTATCCATACTTTTGCTGTTGCATTTTCTAGGGTCCTCAAGGTCTGAAGGGTAACAAGGGCTCTACTGTAAGTACTTTTCCCTTTGGCATTTTAATGTTTCAATGCTTGTTCAAATACTTTGTTCAAGATTTATGCCTTGTCCCTTTCACTGTCTGACAGGGACCTGCTGGCCAGAAGGGTGACAGTGGTCTTCCAGGGCCTCCTGGACCTCCGGTAAGTGCATATTAATATTCTAAGCCTGCCAATGATTTTATCTGAGTTTATAGGATGGAACAGAAAAGCACTATCAGTGGTGCTAATTTTGTAGAAAGTGGCAACTACATCAATGAAATAATCAGGTCTACATGCCAAGGCTTGTCTTTTAATTGATTTTACTCCTTTAAATACAAAGATGCCTTTATTATGTATTATGATAGTGTAGTGATTATTAGTTTTTCAAGAGAATTGTATACTTTTTTTATGTCACACTTTAATGAAATCAACTGACTGTATGGCACAAAGATATCCTTATATCTGACACTTAGGAATAAAGGCAAAAATTCAGACGCTTGACATTTTTATCCTAGTGCGTATAATGATAATAATAAAAGCAACAATAGCTACTATTTATTAATAATGATATTTTCCAGACTTCATTGACTACAAAACTGCCAAACTGTAGAATAAAAATGCAGATCCATGTGAAAAGAAATTTTAGTCTACTTCCTTGTGCAAAAGTGCTTTTAACTATGTGAGTTAACTATTTGAATGATTTCTGTCTTTACACCGCCCAGGGACTCCATTTGTATAGATGGAAATAAATAAATAAGTGAATAAATAACCCTGTTGCAATTGAGTGATTCTAACTCATAGATTTTGTATAGATAGAGGACCAGAAATCATCTGATTAGTATGCCTACCTCAAAACTCCCCCATTAGATTCTTTTTAAAGAACAAAGAAAAAATAATAATTTTACATATATACACACATATACGTAATTACATATATATATATACGTGTGTATGTGTACATATAAAGGAGTCCCGGTGGTACAGTGGTTAAGGCACTCGGCTGCTAACCAAAATGTCAGCAGTTTGAACCCAGTAGCTGCTCCATATGAAGAAGATGTGGCATTCCACTTCTGTAAAGATTACAGTTTTGGAAACCCTAGGGGACAGTTCTACTCAGTCCTATAAGGTCACTATGAGTCGGAATCGACTCAGCTGCAGCAGGTTTGGTTTTTATACATATTAATATAATCTTACACATTTATTTTGTAGCTATTAAGGACAACATTGAAAAGCTAAACCAACTATTTTGTTAATAACAATGACATAACCAGTAACAACTAATATCTGCAGAAGTTTTTATTTTATGAAACAAGTTCACATAGATTATCACTCTTACAGGGTCCTCCTGGTGAAGTCATTCAGCCTTTACCAATCTTGTCACCCAAAAAAACAAGAAGGCATACTGAAAGCATGCAAGCAGATGCAGGTGATAATATTCTGGATTATTCGGATGGAATGGAGGAAATATTTGGTTCCCTCAATTCTCTGAAACAAGACATCGAGCATATGAAGTTTCCAATGGGTACTCAGACCAATCCAGCCCGAACTTGCAAAGATCTGCAACTCAGCCATCCTGACTTCCCAGATGGTATGTTAATAATACATGACACAGCAAATGCACTGAGCCTCTGATGTACGAAGGTGCATTGTCAGCTCATTAATGCTAGTTAAATGTTTACTATAGTCTCTAAATAAAACTATAGCAAATGATTATTAATTCCAGACTTGTAGACTAAAAAAGGTCATTTACACTGTGTGCAATTCAAGATCTGCTTGGTAAAATCCTTGTCTGTTAAATAAGGTTTCATTAAATTATGGCAAGATTATTTTTGGATGATTGTAGATAACACAGATGTATTTTGCACTATAGTAACAATCATAGAATGGGTATTTCATGTGAACACACGATTATTACTATATAGCTATTATTTATATCTTAACTTATTTTAAAAAGCAAAGATGTCACTTTGAGGACTAAGGTGCGCCTGACCCAAGCCACAGTATTTTCAGTCGCCTCACATATGCATGCAAAAGTTGGACAATGAATAAGGAAGACCAAAGAATTGATGCCTTTGAATTATGGTGTCAGCAAAGAATATCGAATATATCATGGACTGCCAGTATAATGAGCAAATCTGCCTTGGAAGAAGTACAGTCAGAATGCTGCTTAGAAGTGAGGATGGTGAGACTTCATCTCACGTACTTTGGACATGTTATCAGGACACTGCTTGGTGGAGTGTCAGGGAAAATGAAGAAGACCCTCAATGAGATGGATTGACACAGTAGCTGCAACAGTGGGCTCAAACATGGCAACGATTGTGAGGATGGCACAGGACCGGGCAGTGTTTCAGTCTGTTGTACATAGGGTCTCTGTGTGTTGGAACTGACTCAGTGGCACCTAACAACAATAACAACTTATTTTAAGTTGTTAAAAATACAGTTGATAAGTAGCGTAACTAAATCATTTCGCCACTCAGTTTAGCAGTAATTTGGTGAACAGAATATTTAAAAGTTGGGGCAAAAATTTATCTTTCATTGACCAACAAATACTGGAACAACTGTGAAGAGTTTACTTAGTAATAATAATCATAATGATTTACTAGAATGGTTACTATTTGATAACACCTTTACATACTTATTGTTCAGAGGAGGAAACAGTTTCAGGTGTGCTGTTAGTTGACTGAACTCACAGTTAGTGAACTATCAAAGGACAGAGCTTTATCTAATTTTAAATCTCCCCCTTTGTGAGGCAATACCCTGTCTCCCATTTTACCATGAAAAAAATATTCTTTTTCACTATCAATCATGTAATCAATGTTATAGTTGAGATACAAATAACAGAGAGAAAAATTTAAACCATTGTAGAAATAGCCACTGTAAAGGAAGAATATCTAAAATCTTATCTTAGTGAAGGATAGCCTTTTAAAACTAAAACACAAGTAATTATTAAGAATCCTGTACAAATTAGTATTCAGGTCTTTAAATTTATAATACATTTATTTGAAGAAAATATATTTAGTTTTGTATTAATTCAGTGATTTATAAGGAGAATCTTACTTTTAACTGGCATTATATATGCAAAGCAGTTAGATGACTGAGTTTGTATCTGTGCCAGAAAATTTCTCCTTTCAGTAATGAATTTAAATATACTTGATCAATCAGAAAATTCTTATGTGGAATTCAGAAGAGAGTACAGAAAATATTATATGACTGTATGACTTTAAGACATCTGACCTAGATAAAAATGGACTGAAAATCTAATGTAAAAGATGGCAGCGTGTGCTGAGTTATAAAACAACATATGATTAATTGGAACATAAAGAGTAAAAAAAAAAAAAAAATATTATGAATTTTGGTAATGGTAAGTTCACTATGGACTATAGTTCTCAGTGGCTTCCAGTACAGTAACTAGTTTCATTAATTCTTTAATGTGTCAGTCAATTAATTAATGATTATTAATAATTATTTATTTACTAGATAGTGCCAGACACTGTTCTTCATGAGGAGATTACAGATGAGTAGAAAGACTCATGCTCTCAAACTGCTTATGATCTAATGGTGGAGACAGGAAAAAATAGAATTAACCACAGATGTTAATAATAGCATATTATGACAGATTCTACAAAAGAAAATATGGATTTAAATAATTAAGGAATTATTCTACTTTGGATAAAAGTTGAATGTTAATATTTGAGGAGGTGACATTTAAACTGAAACCTAAAGAGATGGCCAGCTATGCTAAGGATCAAAAGCATATTCCAGGCTTTGGTTATAGGGCATTTTCAAAGCTTTGAAGAAGGCTAGATCGTGCTGTTTTCAAGGAACTGAAAGAAGATCACCATGGTTGAACAATATCGAGCAAACTAGAGAATGACTTGAAATGTTTTGAAAGTAAGTAAAGTGGAATCAGAAAGCTGATCAAGAAGTTGTTGGACTGATCTAGGCAAGACATGAGTGTAGAGCGCATTAGGGATGTGGAAATAGAAATAGGAGATGGATAACTTAGAGATATATTAAGTATACTATCCATAGGATACTGAACCACTAACAATGATACCTTAAGCTATTAATATGTTATTTGACAGAATATTTAATGGTAGTGATAACTGAGTAAAGCAAGTTAAAAATGATACCATATGATTAAAAATTACATATTCTTAAAAGCCATGCCCATAAAAAACCCCATCGCTGTCATGTCGATTCCAACTCATAGTAACTCTATAGGACAGAATAGAACTTCCCCATTGGGTTTCCAAGGCTGTAATCATTTTGGAAGCAGACTGCCACATCATTTTCCCACAGAGTGGATAGTGGCCTTGAAGTGCTGACCTTTCAATTAGCAGACGAGCACTTAGACCACATTGCTAACAGGGCCCCTTAAAAAAAAAAAGAAACAACACACACACACACAATATACTTCAAAGATTAAGAGCAGTTATCTCTTGTTAGTAAAACTTGGATGATTTTTATTTACTTGTACATTTTTTTTTTTCCCTGAGAATTACAATTTGTAGCAGACAGAAATGTATTAATGATGTAATAGAAAGAGGGCAGATGTTTTTGTTAAATAACATATAAACTAGGGTTAAATAATATATTTCAAGTTACCTGAAAAATGGTAGGCGCTTATTGACTATTAGAGTACTTTTTATTTTATATGCAGTGGTAATAGAAGCTAAAGCATATTGACATTGAATTTTTGAGAGTTCCAGTATTAAGCTAAGTAATTTGAGTTCTAAAATGTTTAAAGTTCATAACCAGTGGATTGGCATAATTCAAATTTATATTTGAAATGAAGTGGCAGCATAAAAAATGATAGGAGAGAAGCAAAGTCATCTTCACATGTACATCAGTTATGTCTCCCAATAACTCTTATTAATGGAAACAGTACTGTCAGTTTATGATACTCCCACTACTTTCCATCTTTATTCATCTAATACCAAATTAATTATCATGAATAAGATTTGTTCTACAATATTTCAATAGTGGCATTAATAGAAGATTGCATTTAAAAATATAAAGTAGAACTTTTCTGCAATATTTCAATAGTGGCATCAATAGCAGACTGCATTTAAATATACAAAATAGACCTTCTTCTTAGGACCCAGTTCAGAGGGGAGTACATTTACTACAAGAATGAGTTTTGCTATAAAGTAATGCAAAAGTATACTATCACTTCCATTGTTACTGATGAATAAACCAGGAATAAAATATATTGGTTATTATGCTCAGATTTCTTAAATAGAAAATAATACATTTAGGATTTGAGGTTAAGTGTATGTGATACTTATGTGCTTGAAATTTATTACAAATAGATAAACAGAATGTTAATATTTGAGGAGGTGACATTTAAGTTGAAACCTAAAATAGATAATCCTGTTAAGAATAAGAGGAGTACCCAGGCAGAGGGTAAGTGGCAAAGTTTTGAGGCAGAAAAGACAAAGAGTCACCCTATAACTGTTTAAACATATGCTCCAATATTCCCAAAGACATTAAAAGAATTTATGTGGAAAAAAATCTATGAATTTGCATTTTCCTTGTTTTCTCTTTCTAATAAAGTTCATTATCTACTGCATTTGATTCTTGACATAAATGAATTTGCATGACATTTGTTCCTACCTTCTAGGTGAATACTGGATTGATCCTAACCAAGGTTGCTCGGGAGATTCCTTCAAAGTTTACTGTAACTTCACGTCTGGTGGGGAGACTTGCATTTATCCAGACAGAAAATCTGAGGGAGTAAGTACCAATCTGTTTTTGTGGTGACTGTTGACAGTTTCTGCCATGTTTTTGCAATATTGAACTAAACAGGAAAATTATACTGTCATATTTTCATTTATCTGCTTTTCTTACAGGGTAGTTAGAGTATTTCATTTGCATAAACATGAATAAGACATCGAAGTGATGCACAGAGTTAACAAATACTCCTCTCCTTTATATTTTACCCAGATGTATTCTTTATGCACCTGCTTGCTCTCTCAAATTCTATTGCTTTTCATGACACAGCACAGCTGAATCTCAAATTTTAGTGCATCTATAGTATTTCTCAGTCCAATTGCCAAATGATAACTCACAGCTGCATATTATGCTCAAAATACACAATTTTATAAAGAATTAATCTTTTATATAAGAGTATTATGTGCACATACATATTTTTAAAATGTTTAACCCTTTCGTTGCTACATTTTTTTCTCCTTAATTTTTTTTTTTTTTTTGATTGCATGCATTTTCAGTATTGGAATGCATGCTTACTAATTGAGTGTGTTTAAATTTATACGGATTTTGAGAAATATGATCTGGCAATACAATCTGCTAATGAGGTGAGTGCCACTTTAACACCACTGATCTGTGGCATGACGGGTATGCCACTGAGAACGAGGTAGATAATTTATTGCTGGTGGTTTTCCATTAGGTTACATGGGGAAACTCTGGTTTCCCAAATATGACACAGAAAAACTAAAACTCACTAGGGCTCTCTAACTATCACACAGGAAAGCCATAATTATGCTTGCAAGCCTTATTTCACAGAAATAAAGGGAAAAAAGCAAAAGTTTACAAAACTAACTCATCCAGGAAGCATCAGCTAATAGAATGCTCACCCTACACAACAGTGAGGCTCCAACTCTGGTCCTCTGAGCTTCAGGAATTTCAAAAGGGACCCACCTTGAGGGTAAATGCATTAGAACCAGAATAACACCTTACTTCTGAGGTCCAGAGGCATAAAAACTGGCTGGCATACTGTTTATACCAATGGTAATGAAAGGGTTTTAAACCTGTTGCCATCGAGTTAATTCCAACTCATAGCGACCCTATAGGACAGAGCAGATCTGCCCCATAGGATTTCCAAGACTACTGTAATCTTTGTGAAAGCAGACTACCACATCTTTCTCCTGTGGAGCAGCTGGTGGGTTTGAAACACAAACCTTTCCGTTAGCAGCCGAGCACATAACACTATACCATGAATTCCTTGATTTCCTCCTAGTAGTGTCAATATACTTGACTTATATCTTTAAAGCTAAATGCAAGTCATTGATATAAGGAAATGTTTTTCACTAGCATAATTATATTCTCCAGACGTTCAATATGTGAGGGATTTTGTCTTCATCTGTATTCTTATACTACATCTCATTCTTAGTAAATAGTGTGGACACACAGTCACAGAAATGCCTTAAGGCAAAGCAAGTAGCTGTATGTGTGGCTAATCTTCATAGGAGAAAATTTAAGTTTGTGAGAAAAAGATGGGTAATAGGGGCAGGAGGCAAAGTGACTTTCATTTCCCAACCCCATTTGGCATGTAGTGAAGGATAGTGAAGCGTCCCTAATCCCCAAAGGAATGTGGGACAATGGAAAATACTTCCCCTTATGCTGATAACTAAAATTCCCTAGAGTGAAGATTTATATACTCTTACATTTTGCTGATCTCTGCAAGGCAATACAATAAATGCAGATCTATAAAAGCTTCTTAATTGTCTTCCCAGCAGGGAGTGATCAGGCTTGCTTCCTGCCCATGATTTTTCCATAGTCTCCTGCCCTTAGTTACTGGCTAGATACTTTCAGAATGCCTCTCTTGGCCATGGAATGCTGATGGTACCTCCCTTCTTGCTTGGTGATGGCTGGCATTGTGAGAGTTTCCTTTGCAGGGGGTTACCTAAGAGTTCCACCAGTGCCTCCTACCACCCTTAGTATGCCTTTACCAGGTTGGTTCTATTTTTCTCCTCTTTTTGAACCAGTTAAGAAAACATGAAGGAAATGACTTAATCTTAGAATTCACAGGATCTATCTCAAAATTTGTACTTTATCTCATTTTGTGTAATCCAGGGTAGATGTCATTTTAAAACAATTTAAAAACTTATGAAAACTCTTACTGAAAAAAAAAAATATGGCATTAATAGTAGACTGCATTTAAATATGTAGAGTAGACCTTCTTCTTAGGACACAGTTCAGAGGGGAGTACACTTACTACAATAGGAAGTTTTGCTATAATGTTGCTATATATATACAATATTATTCCTATTTTTTACCTACTTTCTAATTTTCCTGTTCCTTTGCAACAGGTAAGAATTTCATCATGGCCAAAGGAGAAGCCGGGAAGCTGGTTTAGTGAATTCAAGAGAGGAAAACTGGTATGTTACCACAAAATGAAATAGTTTATCTCAAGCTTTGTAAGTGAAGCTCAGCATATAAATCTCTAGTCTCTGACTGTGAAAGTCTAAATCATACTAGTCAGGATTCCACCTGTTCTCTAGTATGTTCCATCTATATCTAATGAATCACTGTGGTATTTTAGAGTCATCTAAAATTTTTCTATCAAAGTAAAGGGAAATATACAAAAATTACTGAAAAAAATCACCAAATTAAGTATGCATTTCATTAAGTACCTGAGATAGACATCATAAAAAAAGAATTATGTTAGAAATATAAGCTGTAGAGAAAATAATACCAATTAGAACTCTGACTCCAACTATTTCATTTTCTCTCTGTTTGAAACCTAATTCATTCTTTGTTCTCAAATAAGGACGTTTAGAAAGTGTTGTGGTTTTATTGATTGTTATGTTTGGAAATACAGTGACCTGACTGGCCCCGTATTTGTATATAGGATAAGTTTACTTAGTTCACTGTTAATTTTATACAGATATTTTAAGATCAGATGACAAAACCAAACTCATATTTAAAAGCTATTTAAAAAGATCCGTGTTTAAAATATTTTAATTAGAATATATTCCAATTGAAGTGGTTACTATTTATCCAGCTGATTATTCAATGGTTTAATGTTACTTAAAAAATAATTTTATTTCAGTTGATAACTATTTATGTAGTTATTATTTCTATATGAACCTATCCATAGTAATTAACAACTTTTAGTGAAGTTGTCTACTTGACTTATAATTCTTTAGTTCAGTCTTGAGTTACATGTTAAATATCCATGTTTCACCCTTATCTGTGTATGAGACAAAAATACATACCCAAAAGAACTGTGTGTATGGTTTTATTTTGTGTTTTTTGTTTTGATTTGCTTTCCTTAGAGTGCCTTTCCCAAATAGATGTTTTTTTTTAATCCCGCCTCACAAGTACCCTCATCATCTAAGCTGTTAATCACTAAGAAATAAGTATTAGAAAGAAAGCCATAGATAACTACCCTTACACTGACTGATTCTGTAATCTGGGTGATTTTCTTTTTTTCTTTATTTTTGCTCTAGGTTCATATGTTTCAGCTGATCCCAGCTGTTTCAACTGCAACCATTAAAATAATGTATGAAGATGATGCATGAGACAATATTTAATAATTTACTATTAAGACTATTTTCTTCCTATTATTTATTATTAATTATTTATTGAGTCAATAAATATTCATGTACATTGTCTCAGAAATTGTGCTTGGTGCTAATGAAACAATGATGAATAAACACTTTGAGTAAGAGAGGGGTGAACAAGCAATGTCTGTGCTGAAAATTGTTGTTTGCAGTCAAGTTGATTTTCAACTCATATCAACCCCATGTGACAGAGTAGAACTGCCCCATAGGGTTTTCTAGGCTGTAATCTTTATGGGAGCAGATTGCCAGGTCTTTCTCCCATGGAACCATTAGTGTGTTCAAACCACCAACCTTTAGGGTAGCAGCCAAGAGCTTAACTGTTGCTTCACCAGCTTCTTTGTGCTTCAAATTAGAAGAATAAAAAGGCCCTAGAAATTTTTGGCCCCTCTAATAGTTTTCTGTGGCCACTGTAACAAATTACCACAAACTTGGTGGGTTCAAACAACATAAGTTTATTCTCTCACAGTTCTGGAGGCCAGAAGTCGAAAATTAGTTCCCCTCAAATAAATTCAAGGTGTTAGCAGGCACACACTCCCTCTGGAGACTCTAGGGCAGAATCTGTTCTTTGCATTTTCCAACTGTTGGTTGCTGGCGTTCCTTGGCTTGTAGGGGCATCACTCCAGTCTTTACCTCCATCTTTACTTCACCTTGCCCTCTGTGTGTATATGTCTTTTCTATTGTCCATCTCAATTTTCCCTCTGACTTTCTCTTATCTGGACACTTAATTACATCTGCAAAGATCCTTTTTCTAAATAAGGTGACATTCACAGATCCCAGAGATTAGGGCATAGACATATCTTTTGGAGGACCACCATTCAACCCTCTAGAACCTCATAATTGAAAGTGCAGCGATGTGTTTAAAGATTTGGGTCAGTTAGATAAATTATGCAATTTTTGAAAGGAGCAGACAGAAAGCAAACAGCAACAACACAACAGTTGGTCTTTGCATTGCACTCAGATTCTTCAGTTTTCGTTGACCCCTCAAGTTTTAAAAAGATACTCAAATATAATGAATCATTCTTTGGAAACAGAAGCTTTATCCCCCCTACAATTTTTTTTTTTTTAACTGATTAGGGAACTAAGGCACAGAGATAAAGTGACTTTTTCACAGATAAACAATACTTAAGTAATGCAGGTAGAAATACAATTCTAATTTCCTAAAACCCTGTCCTTGGATCTTCTGCCTCTCAATGCACTTGTTCTTTGATTGAGTAAAATGGGTCTGTTGATTCATCTACGTGCTTCTGGGATCACAGTTCACTGTCATCAGTGATTTTATTACTTTATAGGATAAAAGAGGAAAAGAGTCTTTACATGCCTTTTTATTCTTTTACTCCCAGTTTTCCTATTTAGATGTTGAAGGCAATTCCATTAATATGGTGCAAATGACATTCCTGAAACTGCTGACTGCTGCTGCTCGACAAAATTTCACCTACCACTGTCATCAGTCAGCAGCCTGGTATGATGTGTCATCTGGAAGTTATGACAAAGCACTTCGGTTCCTGGGATCAAATGATGAGGAGATGTCCTATGACAATAATCCCTACATCAAAGCACTGCATGATGGCTGCGCAGTGAGTATAATCTCTGCTTGCCCTCTTCTTTCGCACAGGAACAAAGCAGTGGAGAACTGCCTCAGCTTAGCCTGAAACCAGATTTCTTTCATGAAATGAAAGTCTGTTGTTATTAAGATTTATTGTTTAATACTGACAAATTAAAATCCAGAAAGTTAGAAACCACCAGTGTTCACACACACCCACAGCAGCAAACTGAAACATACAATAGACACATTTAAAGCCATAATAGAAGGTAATCTAGCATCCTGTTTTATTTTTATGGAATTATTCCTGACATTTAAATGATATTACAGCTAATTATTCTTGAAATACAAAAAAATAAATAAATAAAGTAAAACAAACAACAACAACAAAAAATAAAACTCTGCTTCATTTGCCTTCTTGATCCCTGAGTCTACACTGATAGATAAAGGAATCACTGTTATGCCATAGATAATCTTACTCCTGTGTTTTGGGGCTTATTGATTAGTACTATTATGTACCAGTTTTAGGGATATACTATCATTTTTTTATTTTTTATTCTCTGAAACTATTTTTTACACATAAGGGAATTCCATATAACAAAATGATCTATTATTGTTAGTTGTCGTCGAGTCGATCCCGACTCATGATGACCCCATGTGTGCAGAGTAGAACTAACTGTTCCATAGTATTTCCAAGGCTGTGACTTTTGGAAGCAGATTGTCCTGCCTGTCTCCCAAGATGCCTCTTGGTAGGTGCCAACCTTTCAGCTAGTAGGTGAGCACTTAACTCTTGGCACCACCCAGGGGTTACAAAATAATCCATAGAGTACCCTACAAATCTCATTGCTTTAGTCAATTATTGATGGCTGAAGAGTGGTCTCAATTACAGATAAACAGACCCTGCTCTCAACAAAATGAGGGGAGTACAAGTAGAAAAAAATAAAATAAAGTATTAAAGGGGCAAGAGTTTTGGAAAGATTTCCCAATAGTAATGTATTCATAAATATTCATAAAATTAATATATAGAAAAATGTTTTGACTTTTGACCTCCAGCATTATAATTGCTATACTGTGTTCAAATTTTGTCATAAAAGAATTTGTCTACATTATATCATAAGTATAATTATGATGGTAAGGACATGCTGTATATTTAAGAGTATGATCTAAAAGCAATCATTTTCCTATTAAAATGTATTTATCAACTCAATAGATTCTTTTCAAATAAACATAGCATCGAAGTATAATAATTGGAGAATTACAGCTAAATTTTAAATGTAATTATTGACATTCAAAATTCAAGAATATATGTGACCATAGTGATAACAAGAAGTGTTAAATACTAGATAATGGCAAATTTGTTTTACTCTCTTCTCTGTCACCCTGTATCTCCATTCAGAAGTTTGAGAAAAAAATCACCTGTATTTAAAAAATGTGAAATGACCATATTTGTAACTTATTTCTGCTTATTTTTGCAGTCCAGAAAAGGCTATGAAAAGACTGTTATTGAAATCAATACACCGAGAATTAATCAAGTACCTATTGTTGATGTAATGATCAATGACTTTGGTGATCAGAATCAGAAATTTGGATTTGAAGTTGGTCCTGTTTGTTTTCTTGGCTGATATTAAGACAAAGAACATATAAAACCAACAGAAATTTACCTTGGTGTCACCAACCCATTTTATGCCACATGCAAGTTTTGAATAAGGATGATATAGAAAACAACTTGCTACATATATATGTACCATTTAGGAAATATTAATGCCCTTGTGAGGGCAGAACCATGTGACAAAACTATGAAACTCATAAGGTATAAGATAGTGTGGCTGAGATGGAAAACAAGGCTCCTTTTTAATTCCCTAATTCTCATCTCTCCTTTTCCTATTTGGATTCCTTTGGTGCTGTAGGGAAAAAAAAATAAAAGAGAGAAAAATATATACTCATAAAAGATATGGTGCTCATTCTCATCCATCAAGGATGTGCTAAAAAAAAAGTGTGTTTAATAAATTGTAATTATTTTATGTACAGTTCTAAACTGTTATCTATGTGTCCATTTCCAAAACTTGCACGTGTCTCTGAATTTCATCTGACTCTGATTTTATGACAATTGCAGAACTATGACGGCAATAAATATATGTATTATGAAAAAATAAAGTTGTAATTTCTGGTGACTCTAGTTCCCTTTCTTTGATTAATAATAAAATGCCTTTGTATATATTGATGTTGAAGAGTTCAGTTATTTGAAGTCGCCAACAAAAATCTCAGAGGGCAAAAACCTGGAAGACTCTTGGAAGCACACTCAGATAACTCTTCTCTGCTGACAGTAACCTTTGCTGAATTTCAGACAAAAATATCATGCATTTTGATGCTTTCTTCAATGCTATACCTCAAACATTTTTTTTTTTCTCAGAATCTAGGATTTTACTGGATAATTGTATATACGGAAAATAAGCCAGTTTATATTTTTGGACAGGAAAATGTGTATGAGAAGCTATTTTAACAAACTGATGCCTCCGTGCAGCAAACAATGTACAATTTTTTTCTCCACCTTATCTCAGTGTGTTCGGTGTGCTTCTATGATGCAGATTAATATTAAAGATGGAAACTAAACAATTATTTATAAATTTGTGCAATGTTAGATTTTTAATCAATCAACTTCTGAATTTTATTCTAAGTTGCATATAATAATAGTCTCAATATTATTTTACCTGCCCAACAAATATGATTTCTTTCCTTTCAAAATAACTTCATACATCATTTGACATACCTAATTGCTAAATAACATGTGGGTGGACTGTTACTAACAGTGCTTATTTTAAAAGTCATACTTATTCAAGACTATCAAAACATTTTTTTCCACTAAGGTATTTTCTTCAGGTAGCATGAAATAGGAGTAAAACTTTTAAAATTACAAACTGAACTTTGTATCTATTTTAAGTAATACATGTTAAGACTTGAAAATAAATGTGTTTTATTATTTCTTATATAAAGTGTTAAATTAATTGATACCAGATTTTCAACTGATAATTTATCATGAAAGACAATTCCTGTAATATTGACATTAAAAAGTGAACATTTGTCATTCAGAATTTCTTTTATTTTTTAAATCAAGTTTGTTAACATCCTTTCAAGAAGGGAGATATGAATCCTATGAATAAACTCGAGCCTTGTCTACCTGGATTGGTCATTCTCTTTCTTAAATAGGTTCCAAATTATTCTCTATTTCAGAAAATGCTTTCTATTCTGTTTCTTGACCATCCAGATTAGAATAGTTTTACACTTTGGAATAAGCATACTAGCCTTCAAAGATAAGTTGTTTAAATTCTCCACATGTGTAAAATAATAAATACCACATGGTAATACTACCTTTACAAAATAAGGATAGATTATATTTAAAATTTCAAGGGGATATTTTTATATTTAAAAAGCTTTACAAGGTCTCAAACATATATTCCATAATTTCAGCATTAAAAGTATTCCTAGTACTTTTCTTTTGAATTACATTCTCTGAATCATACATAATATTCATCTAGAGAGATTCTATAAGTCAGACAATTTAATGAATGCATAACAAAAGAGAATATTTTGTGTAAAGCTCTAGTCCTGCATCAAGGAAGCAGCCTTATTTGGGCATTTAAACAAAATTACATCAAATGGGATATTCAATTGAAGGAATGAACAAATAATTGGCCTGTCCTTTTGTGTTCTTTTTATGTAATGCTATGGACGTGGTCTTCTGCATAACATCTGATATTTTTCCTCTCCCTTATAATTAATTTGGACAAAAGGCAGCCCAGTGGAATGGAAAAAGCACACTAGGAGACTTTTTCATCCTGACCCAAATATATATAAGCTCTTCATGTGTAAAATATGGAGAGTAATATTGACCTTACAGGCAGGGATGGATCCCGGGCCTGAAGCTTGCAAAATTTATATTAATTCAAAATTAAAAGTACAAAGTAAGTACAGATATGACTATTAAGAATAAAAACATTAGAACAAATTATTAATTTTAAAAAAGGACCAATACCAAAAATATCACAAAATCCAGAAAAATAATGTTTTTATTAACTTTCTGAAACTCCTCTGTGACATTTTTATCCTATATGTTTTGGCTACATTCTCTTTGAGTGCCTCTCCATTTGAGAATTTTATCCTTTCTTTTTTATATAAAGAATAAGTTTATCTGCCATGGTAGATCAAAAAATTATTATTAGTTTAGAGATGTTTCTTTCAGCTTCATATATTTTTATGTGTATTATAAAATTTAGGACAAGTTCTACCACATTTCTCTCATACATGCGTTATAAAATTTATGGGAATTTTCCACAGACTAGCTTCTATTCTGTACATTTCAAACCTTGTTTCTCCTCCACTGCCAATAGATTTCAGATGTGGGCCCAATAAGTACTTTTCATCTTTTTGTCACCATAACATACTGAGTGGTAAGAAAGTTCCAGAAGCCGTTCCTCCACTAGGAATACTTGCAATAATTGTACACAAAAGTGGCTGCAAGTCGTGTACTTACACCCTGCCATGTAAATACATTCCACAAACTCAAGATAAATGTATCCCCAACTGAATATTGTTTCAACACATCCCACACAATGTAAGATTCCAAAAGGGGGAAGTAGGAACTTGATCAGTGTCTTAACTGATCATCTTTGGCAAATTTTGCAAATTGTATGACCATGTGAACTTACCTCTAGGATCCCACTCAGGGTTTTAGATAGGATGTATGCAAGAGAAGGATCTTGAATCTTAAGCTTTATTAGTGTCACAGTAAATTGGCCTCTATCTGCTGGATAATTTCAAAATTTAGTTAATGAAGGGCCTCGTGCACTGGCTGGCATATAAAACAAACAAACCAGTTGCCTTAGAATCGATGCTGACTGATGGCAACTCCATCAGTATCAAAGAAGAACTGTGCTCCATAGGGTTTTCAATGGCTGATTTTTTGAAAGTAGATCACCAGGTCTTTCTTCAACAGTGCCTTTGGTTAGTAGCCTTTCGGTTAGTAGCCAAGTGCATAACCATTTGCACCACACTAACTAATAGTTACTACTGCCCTAGATTCCTACCACTACTGTCATCACCATAGTATAAGTTCCTTTCTAAAATGTAATCACGCATGTGCTACCTACCCAACAGAACTGTTATACTGAATTTTAAAATAAAACACTATACAAACTGCATGATCACAAAAGCCCAAATCATCAAACGCAAGTGAAATGCAAGCTGTATGAATGATTTGCAAAGGACACCAAAAGGAAGAGTAGCATACAAAAGGAAGAGTAGCATAAGCCATATAACTATCCTTGAAACCCAGAATTCATCAGACACAGCTTCTCAATCCCCTTTTCTGTACTCGGATGTGTTTCACTTTCACAAGTATGAGTTTATTAGCATTTGGAATCTCTTTCTGTTTATATCTTGCTAGTCCCATAACTCTGTAATAGCTATATAACTAACTTCTATTCTTCAGTGCATTTTCAACCCATAAATCCATAGATTCCAGAATTATTTAAATTAAAAAATTCCTCCAGAAAAATATCCTGTTAAAAACATTTTAAGTTCAATAATAACTACATAACAAGCCCTGCAGGATCCTTATTTATCTCTATCTAGTAAATTCATCAGTCAATATTTATAAAGAGATTGTTCAGGGTCAAAAACAAAAGGAAAGAAGAGGTACAAACACTGTTAACTCTCTCCTTCCAGAAATATAAATTGAAATAATTTTTATGGTATGGTAGCTGGGACTCATTGATAACAACCTTATAATGGCAGTTCTGCCTCTAATATAGTTAAATGAAAGTAAAAAAAAAAAAAGATGCTGATTTGTATTTATACATTACTTTCTATAAAAAAGTAAAAACCTAGCCTCACTCAGTAATGGAAAGATCTGCCTGTTGCCAAAACTAAGGAGGAAACACTATGTCCCAGCAGGGGTCTTATTTCAGTGACAAACTTGGACACAATGTAATCTAAAGAGTCTTCCAGATTAACTCACCATTATATTAGGGTCTCTAGGTAAACAACCATGGGTGACAAAATTCAGGCCTTGAGTTGCAATATTAAAGGCTACTATCGGGAAAATACTGAACATGATGCAGGAAGCATCAAAAGAAGATGGAAGGTGGACTTCCGGCAACATGGCACTCTAGGCAGAAGCACCATGCCATCCCTCCACAGCAAAGATCCAAAAAGCTAAGCCAAACAGAGAAAACAGCAATCCTGAAACCCTAAAACATCAAATGAAGAGGTAAAGAACTCAGCCAAGCACCAAATGGAGTGAGAAACTGACAGAGAACGGAGTGTGAGGAGAGATTCATGCAGAGGTCCTCTATCAGCTAACGCAGTGCGGATCCACCATCTTGGACTCCTATCAGAGACCAGCAAATAGGGGGTACGAGAAAGCAGCTTCACGGAACTTCCAGCAGGAGACAAAACAACTGGTAACGGTGATATACGCATTCCCACCCCCCACCCTTTTTCACCCCCACTCGGCCTCCTCTACTTCCCACGGCCACAGTCTCTTGGCCAGGAAGCACTGACTGCTTGGATTCCACCTGCTGGCACTGGCCGACTCACTGAGTGCCATTTGTTGGGTGCTGGTGTTGCTTTTTTCTGCTTCTTTTGATTTCTTCCTTACCTCTCACTATCTCTCCCTCCTTTCGCTCAAATAGCTGACTCCGAGTGCCATCTTTGCTTCTTCCTAAGGGGCTGCAGAGCTCCATCTGAGTGTGGAACTGCTTCCCAGTCCGTGCTGCCATGCTGGTGGGATCCTGGGGCGCTTTTTTGTTTGTTTTGAGTTGTTTGTTTTCTTTATCTTTTCTTGAGTTGGGAGCCCGTTCTGGCCAGGCAGTGCTACCCAGCTTGAGACCTATCCTCTCAGCTTGTGCAGATGCGCAGAGGGATCCCTGAGGATACTTCTTTTTTCACAGCTTTTTTTTTTTTCTATTTTTTGGGGGGCTTTTCCTGTTTTTTTCATTTTTGTTTTGTTTTCTTTTCCCTTTTTGTCTTTCTTCATTACTCAGTTTCTCATCTCTCTATACCTTCCTTCTTTTTCTGTTCCCTGAATACCTGGTGCTGAATACCTCTACGCCTTCTAGCCAGGCTGTACTTCAACACCTGGAACAACTTCCCCAGACCTCGTGGCTGCACTGGTGGGATCCCTGGGAGCTTTACTGTCCTTTTTTCTTTCTAATTTTTATTTATTCATTCTTT